TATCAAGGGTTGATGAGGAGTGGGAGTAGGGAGGGAGGGGACAAAATGAGGAGCTGATACCAAGGGCTCAAATAGAAAGCAAATATTTTGAGAATGATGAGGGCAACAAATGTACAAAAGTGCTTGACACACTGGATATATGTATGTATTGTGATGAGTTTTATGAGTCCCTAATAAAATGATTTTTTTAAAGAGAGGTGTATGAGCCCCCAATAAAATAATTAAAAAACAAAGAAGAGGCTTTCTGCTCACAGAGATTTAGCCTGGGAAGTCCACAGGGCAGCTCTATTCAGTCTGCTGGGATTCGATGAGTCAGAATTAACTTGATGGCAGTGAGTTTGTTAGTTGTTACATTATCTTCAGAAACCATTCACTTCAGAATAATTTTTAAAACCTTGTTTACTTTCATAGAACATGACCCTTAATCACCATTTGGGTCTGGACAGGTGTGTAAGCACCTATATAAAGCACTCCCATCTACTGGCTGTCCTGTCCAAATAGAGCCATACAGGAAAAAACAACAACAGTGAATCAGAACAAACAATCTCACTGAATTAAGCTGTGGGAGGTTTGGTTAGCTACTTCGGCAGATTTTTATTTACTGGCCTATTTTAGCCACTAGTGCCTCTACAGCTTAGTAAGATGTATGTAACCCAAGGGACAAATGTAATCCAGACCTGGTAGGGACGGTGCTTGCTGATCTCTTATAGCTCCAGTTTCAAGCTGAATGGAAGCATTGTGTTATAAGCTAGTAAGGCTTACCAACACCCAAACACCTATCATCTGTTTCCACAAACTTTAAAACCAGATGACCTAGAGCAGCGGTTCTCAGCCTTCCTAAGGCTGAGACTCTTTAATACAATTCTTCATGTTGTGGTGACCCCCCAGTCATATTATTTTTGTTACTACTTCATAACTGTAATTTACTACTGTTATGAATTGGGTGATCCCTGTGAAAGGGTCGTTCGTTCGAACCCCAAAGGGGTCATGAGCCACCAGTTGAGAACCGCTGAGCTGGAGTATGAACTCACTCTTCACACATGCACATGACTGCGTATTATTTCACGGGACACAGAGACCCCACAAACAGATTATAAACTGTTCCAGATAGGGGATCTGAGATAAGTCTCTCTCTGCTTTTTATTGAGATGGAGATTTACAAAGCAGATCATCAGTTTTAGATCACCAGTTCATGCACGTTTCACCTCATCCACTGCAAGCCTCTCGCATCCTACTTCCTTCCGGCATCTCCTGTTTCCATTCCTCCTCCTTTACTCAGCCTTTGTTACTCTGTCGGGTAAATGCTGCTCTTTCGTATCTTAAATTGTTGATCATTCCATTCCGGATCCAAATGGTGACTGAGGGTCACAAGTTTGGGGACTCCCACTAGTCTCTGCTGACCACTAAGCCTGGTCTCTTATGACCGTTGAGTTCTGTCCCTCTCTGACCCTCTAACATGATCCTGTTCAGAGCACTTGGTAGTGGCAGCCACGCACCATCTACATCTTCTGGTCTCAGGGTTGTGGAAATGGATGTTTGCACAGCCCTAAATTAGCCCGCTGGACTAGCTGACACACAGTTTCCTATCACACAATGAACATTGCTGGCTTGGGAGAGAATCAGAAACTAGCTTTATGCTCATCAAGTTCAGTGTAATGGAGAAAGCACCACGTTTCACTTTCTGTGCTGTCTTATTAGCTCTGCGACTTTGAAGACACCATTTGACATCTGAACTTCATCTGTTAAAGAGAAAAAATTGTAAAGAGGAATCTCTTCCTCACAAGAGTTATGAACTGACATAAAATGTAGGTACAAGTGCCTGGCTGACTGTAAAATGCTCTACAAAGGTCTGTCCCCAAAGGCCAGACACAAAGTAGCAAAAGTCAGCCAAGAACCAGAGGCATAGGGAGCCTTTCCAGTCCTTCCCGAGGGTAAATGTAGAATTGTAACAGCAGCCAACAATGACTGAGGGCTTACTATGTCCTCACAATCTCAGGGGAAGTCTTTTCAAGGCAAGTCTGGCTAGGTTAACTATGGCACCTATCTCACAGATGAGAAAACCAATGTAAAAAGTTAAATACCGTAACTTGCCCATGGACAGAGTCTGTGTCCCAGTGTTCTTTATCCACAGACATGCATGCTGAACAACTTTGCTTTGCTACCTAACGATGCTTGTGCATTACCCGTTGACTCAGCTGCCACCTAGTCGCATTGACTGAGGGCAACCGCATGTGACCGCCAGAGCAGAACTGTGCTCCAGAGTCTCCATGGCTATGACGTTTGGTAAGCTGATCACTAGGTTGGTTGTCTTCTGGGGTGGGTTCAAACTGCCAACCTTTCCAGAAGTAGCCCAGAGCTTAACCGTCTGCTCCACCAAGATGCTCGTGTTAGTGGATGGTGGGCCGTTATGAGATCTCTTACTTGGGAATTGCACTGAAGGTCGAGGATCCGCACTTTCCTTCTGTCGTAAAATCACAACATCCCCATCTTTCAAGCCATAGGAAGCCAGTGATCTGTGGTTGTCTGTGAGAGGTCTTTCAGCATACACAATCTACAAGAAAAAGTTGAATAGCATGAAGCACTGAGCTAGAACAAGGCATAAACCAGAAAGACTATCTTTCCCTCTTAATCAGATGATGGATGTCACGCCTTGCTCAAAACCCTCCAGTGGTCTCTCATCGCACCTGGACTAAAACCCAAAGTTCTTCCATCTACGAACAGCCCCAAACAATATGGCGCCTGGCCCCCTGCTCTGACCTCCTCTCACACCATGATGCCATTCCTCAAAGACGACCAACTCTCCTTGGCAGGGTTTCACTTGCTCTTCTCACTTAACATGACACATTGTTTATTTGTCCGTCTTTCTGCCCCACTAGAAGCTAAGCTACTGGCGGGCAAGGCCTTTGCTTTGTTTACCAGTTCGCTTGTCTAGAGCATGATCTGCTATTACAATGAATGCTCAACTACAAGGGCCTCCAAAATTTGTGGAAGGATTCCCCCTTCCCGTGAACTTTGTGGCTCCTCATCTATACTAGTGGGTCCAATTTTAGGTTTAACTTGGAGCAGGGAGAGGAACGGGGAAGATATCCTCTGGGTAGGCTAAATATAGCGCCAGTAAACGATGTGTACACTTTGACAGGCTCCTCCACACGGGCAGGTCTGCGAGGCTCCCAAATACCACTTTCCTGCATGCTTCCTTCTGCCCTACCAGCCCAAAGCCGCGTCATTCGCATGTTTAGGAGTGGAAGACAAAGTGGGGAAGAAATTCACAAGAGAACAAACACACCTGCTAAAAGGAGCGACATAAAAACAGACAAGAGTGCACTGTGGAAAGAAGAGAAACACACAAGACACGCTATCACTTACAATCTGCCTCCTGTACTTCCAAGGGGGCACTCAGAATAAGTAAACCTCATTCCGAGAAGCTTTCTTCCGAGAAGCTTTCTTCACGATTTGTTTTTGTGTACAGAGCCGTTGGGTCACATGCAAACTGCGGAACCAGAGTAGAATTCTACCCTGGCTCTGCTGATAACTCACTGACAGACATGGAACCCTGTCACTCAGCGGGCCCAGGCCTCACAGTTCCCATTTGACAAACAGCAGCTGAGGCTACGCAATCATTACAGCTGTCCCTTCCAGTTCTTTCTGCTACACTACCACACTGCAGTATCTTCCTCGGAGATCCCCACAATTCTCCTAGCAAGGTTGCCTGGCACACAACCAGAAAATAGCACATGGAAACTGAAAAAAGAAGTGCTTTAGAATTTGAAACAAGAGGAATCTGCATTCAGTTCACCTCAAATCAAATCCCGTGGAGAAGAGCAAACAAACTGGTTTACAGAGCTTGTGTGCCCAAATCAGCACTTGCCGGTCCTACACCTAACACAGTGGTAGCACAGTGATTCTATGATGCTGGACTGCTAAGGAGGGGCTGGCAGTCTAAACCAACCAGCCGCTCCACAGAGAGAGATGTGGCAAACTGCTCCCACACAGATTTACAGCCTTGGAACCCAGAGCAGGTTCTACTGTCATACAGAATCACTGAGTTGGAATCAACACATTTGGTTTTTGTTTTTCATACATAACTAGAAAATATTATTCTTACAGTCTTCAAAGTTAAAACAGATCGCAACTGACACTATTATCCCATTCACACTTCCTTATTTAAGCACACCTCGTGCAAAACTACACTATGACCAACACAGATTGCTTTGCAATATAACCTGAGAGTTATAGCATAATTTGAGGGGTTACCTGGGGTTAAAAACAAGGTCAAAAGCAAAACATAAATCTGAGTGTTGGTGTCACGTTTGAGGTGTGCAGCAAGGAAAGAGGAGACATAAGAAAAAGATGACACAGGTAGGCTCTTAGCAGAAGGCATCAGCACTGGAGGCACCATAATGAAGTCATCAGTACTCCCAAGGCCTCCTTAATTGCCCGGCTCCAGAAACAACACTGTCAGGATACTTGGAGATGTACGATCAGCCTCATAGAGCAGTGACAGATACTTCTAAGAGAATGCCTATTTTCTTTACCATGAGAAATCAAACTTGGGAGGCGATGTTCCTTTCCACAAGACCAATGACCTTTCTTTGTGTACAAAATGCTCCACAGAAAGTGAAATGAAACAGCAGATACCATTAAGTGATGTCTATGAAGAGCCAGCGTTAAACGGGGTAGGTTTCAGCCTCCCACTTAACCCTCATATCCTCTTATGAAGTCTCACAATTATGAGCCCTCTTTCACTCACGGGGAAGTGAAATGTAAAGAGTTCAGTGACTAAGGTCACACAGCTATTAAGACAAATGGGACTGAAGCCACACCTGCCTGATTTTGAAGCCCATATTCTGCACAAATACCATACACAACTTCCCCAACCATAGCCATCCTCCACCCCCAAGTGTCCTGCTGAATTAACTGGAGGATTATCAGTAATAACTTTTAAGCCATTCATCATCACTAAGTGATGCTCACTGTTCAATGCACCCTCCCTGCCCTGGTCAGTAAAGGGGCGAACACTACCTACAACTTATGCTTTGGAGTCCCACTTTACAGAAGGCACTTGTCATTCCACCACTGTTTGGTTACTATTTCCTCACTGGACAATGCAATTCGGAAATGAGGCAGTCAGATCCAATAGGAAACACAGTTCCCCAAGTCAAGCCTGGATTTTACATGTGAAACAGTACTCTCTGGCTCACTGTCCTAGAAACCGGAGACTGGAACAAACACTCGCCCTACGGGAAAGGACCAAGTGTCCAGCACCGAGATAAAGGAGAGCTTGGTTGGAATTTTAACTGCCACAAACAAGTAACTTCTTTTTATTAGAATAGGGTGAGTCTATGACAGACAAATATGTGACAGCTTAAGCCCCAGAATTAAAGTCTGGGTGGTTTTCTAACTAAACATGAATATGTTAGACCAATGGTTTCAAATCTCTACCAGTCAAAATAAAGCAGGTTTTAGAGACAGTATTCCAGACACACCATCACCTGTGTGCTTTCCATGGTGAACATTACCCAGCTCAAGGCCTCTAATGCACAAAAGCCAGGTTTTGCCACCTCAAGACCTTTTGAAGAAAGAATTGACACAGCTAAATGTCTTCAGCTGCAAAACTGGCACACCTGTTCATACTTACTCTGGAGAAGGCACCCTAGAGAGTGAGATTTAATCTTAATCAACATCTTACATAGACTGATTAATGAAACCCCCAAACCTTTAAATATCATGTCAAATGTGTCCCAGACTCTGGATATGAACCTTCAACTAGCAGAAATCTTTAACAGTATGTTTCTGGCAGTAAGGGCCACAAGCAAAGCCCACAGAATCACAGCCAGGTGGGCACTTAATATTAGCTGTTAATTAAGTGCACACTATATGCCAAGTACTCTACCTACACTATTCTATGCCAGTCAGGTTGACTTTTACAAACCAGCTAAGAAAGCGGTTTGCAACACTGAATTACAATGTCTTTCAAAAAAATTTAACATTTAAGGTATGGTCCTATGGCTCCTACAAAAGGACTTAGTGGGACTATGTAAATAAGGCACATGAACCTGGAACCCCTATGGGGTGAGACCATGTAAACTAGGTAAATGGAACCCTAAACTAGGGGATTGCCCAAAATTTTGCTTTCCTACTAAGCTTAAGAAAGAGCCAATCCCAGAGCAGAGAAGGATGTCACTGCCACTAAGAAAAGAGGAACCAAGAGTGGAGTGCATCCTTTGGACTTAAGAGTTCCACACTAGGAACCTCTTAGACCCAGGAGACAGCTGTAAAGGCAGAGATGGCAAGGTAGTGAGAAGTGGCACAAGAAAAAATGGCATTAGATGGCAGAGTGGTCTTCTTGGGCCAGAGTGGGGCAGCTACAGTAGGTGTGCCAACCCACAGAGAGAAAGCTGAGTGCCTTTGGGTAGGAGGCTCGTTGAGGGAGTAGGATGCCTTCAGACACTTACAGGCAGAGCTAACCAGCTTTGTAACACTAGCATCAGGAAAGCACAGGCAAGGCTGTGTGACTATGAGCATAGCTGCCTGACTCAAAAACAATTTCCTAACTTGTCCAGGATTTGGAACTGCAGCCTATTCTCCCCCCATAATTGTGAATACCGTCTGTGAGTTGTATAGCCACTATTCTAGATCATGGAACCTAGCAGAATATAATATGAAAGGAATGGCTATGCCAGAACTGGTGAAAAGGGTAAAGGTCTGTTTGATTTCTAGCTCATAGGAATCAGCCTGGTCATGCTGTTCATTCATCCTGTTTCTCTCCTTGCCCCACCCTTGTGAAGTCAGATGAGGTCTGATGCCGCACCCCACTATTTTATAACATTTGACCTGGTAATAAGCATCTAAGGGTTTTCCTGAGAAAACAAGCAGAACTAGATGAAGCCTCAGGAATAGAAATATTTATAGTAATATTACTCATAGCTGCTCCCAAATCCCCAATAGGAAAATAAATCACCAAATATAGTACATCTTCATGATGGAACAAAGAAGAATGAATACCTTTGTATTACAGTGTTGATGGAGAACATTAACTATACCATGTACTACCAGAAGAATGAACGAATTTGTACTGGAAGAAGTACGGACAGATGTTCCTAGGCATGAGATAGGAAGACTTCGCTTCACGTACTCTGGCTATGTTAAGAGGAGGGTCCAGCGAGTTCCTAAAGATGACATCATGTTTGGAAAGGTGGAGGGTTAGCAAAAATGAGGACCAGACTCAACCAGATACTGACACAGTGGCCAAAACAATGGACTCAAAACACAGGAAGGACTGTGAGGATGACGCAGGACGGGCAATGTTTCTTTCTGTTATACATAAAGTTACCATGAGTCAGAACCAGCATCACGGCGCCGAACGACGACGTATGATAAAATAGTGTATAGTCATTGAAGTCTATAAATTCGATCATTTTTAAATGGCATGGGAAATGTAGACAATTTGGTGTTCATAGAGAAAATAAGATATAAAATTGTTTACACAGTTCATGGCCCATTATGTTGAAAAGAGCCACTACGTAAGTAAAGCCAAAAGGTTAGCTGCCATTTCTGGGTTAAGAGGCAGTAAGTTATTATGTTTCCTTTATAGTCTCCCATATGTTACAAGTTTACTACAATGCAGTATTCATCAGGTAATACCACTCACTGGAAGAGGCATAATGGGTGGTAATCATCAGAAGAGAGGGGGGACCCTCAGTGAGATGGACTGACACAAGAGCCAAAACAACAGACCCAAACATACTCACAATCAAAATGGCAGAGAGCAGGATTTTGATGGTTACACAGAAGGCTAGTAAGAGGCAGTAACTAACTAGGGCGGAGGGGATACAGGAAAATAAGCAGGCCAAAACCAGCTACAAGAGAAAATTTCTGTTTCCACTGGTTTAAGAGTGTTTCACAAACCACAAGTCATGCTGTGTGCGGAGCTGCCTCCTCAGGATCACACTATTGAAAGGACCTGCCATTAGATATGCCTTTCACTAGAGGGTCTTCACAGCACATTTCACAAGCCACTTAAGAGATAGCTTGTTTGTTTCGAAAACATAAAGACATTATTTAAAGAGAAGCTAAATCCTGATAATTTGTTTGAAGTTCACCCAGCCAAGTCTGCATCAAAGCCCCACACAGAGCCAAGACTGGCTTCCAAGCCCACACTTGTATTAAGAGATGGAACATGCCCAGCTTTAATCACATGTAGAAGTAGAGATGGCGTCTATTCTAAATTTGTCATCACACTCCACACTGCATTATAACTGACTAGAGCTGTTAAAACGATCACTTTTCCTAAGTGTATGCTTACACACATCTGAAGATGAAGTGAGAGACTGAATTCTAACCCAGGAACCCCCAGTGTGGGGCAAGAATCCAAGACAACCCTTTAAGGGTGTACAAAGAAAATAGAAAACAGCAGAACTTCATTTCTATGTACCGTATATACTCGTGTATAAGCAGAGTTTTCCAGCATTTTTAATGCGTTTTTTATGGTAAAATTAGATGCCTTGCTGATATTCAGGTTAGCTTATACTCGAGTATATGTGGATTTGATTTCATCACTATATTCTATTTTATCCTTGCTTACCTATATTACTTCATGCATATAATATGATCTCTCTTTATAACATGTTATATACCTGTTTTATATTGTACAGAACAAATTATTTCAGTACATGGGTGCACTTTCAGAAACTTTTTACTGGTAGGGATATACATGACTAAGTTTGCAGACTAGTGGTCTGGACACAGAATGGCAGCAAATGGCCAAGAACAGAAAAATACATTCTCTGGAAGAAATGGATTCCAAAATAGGCACGAAGGCAGGGGGATGGAGAAGGTGAGGAGGTGGAATGCAGTAGAGGCCAGGAGGACCATGAGAGGGAGGAAGAGGATGAGTAATATGGGAGGGCCCTGGGAGGTATGTGCAACAAAGGAGGCCCTCCTAGCAGGCAAAGATGATGTGTTTGTGGAGGTTTATTATTATGATTTGAAGAAAGGAAATGACTAAAAGTATCTAGGGTGGATCCTGTTCCTGCCTGATGGGCAAGCAAGTGAAAGACAACCGACCACCAGACATCTTAAAATAGATACAATGTTGTCAGGTTACAATGGAGCCAAGGGAACAAACTTGAAAAACAGGAGCTGTTTACAGCTATGTAATACAGACTTAACGCTAGTGGGAGCCCAGGTTCTATAGGCTAATATGGCTTGGGAAGGAAATAAATGCCAAGACACTGACATAATGACCAAGAATCTGGAATTAGCCTGGGCATTCCACTGGTAAAGTCTACCTAATCTAAGAATTCTATGGACCTCATAATTGTCTGCCTCGACCACATAGTTATTTGTTTTTCAATCTGCTATTCCTTTTCATCTACTTATAGAAAATGCTTTTTACTACCATCTCAAAAAAAAGGACGAATGCAAACAATCTCAATCTTTTCCCTTTCCCAAACCCTGAAAACAGCAAAATCCATTTACATTTAAATTTTTATTTACCCTGCCAGATGGGCAATATAACAGGCAGAGGGAGAGACATGATCGAAAAGGCCATCTTCAAATATTTAAGAATTTACTTTATTTCTTCCTTACTTAAAACAGTGCTTTCAAAGTTCTCCACATGAGGGATTCATGGCAGGAACTGGTGTTTTTGTGGATTAACCTCTTATAGAAGTTGTACACACACACACACCCTACTTTTTGTTTTTTAAACCAATTTCTCTGTAGCTTTTGCCAGTATGTATTTGAATGATACTTTGCACTCTGCAATAAATGCTCAGCACTCAGCTTTATGCTAAGGCTCTAAAGTTCATGTAGCACAAAGGAATACTCACTTCCAAACAAAATACTGGCACATCTGTACACCACAACACAGGACTGAACAGGCTGTAGTGGAGCAATGATTTCTGGAACTATAGTATAACTGCAGCAGAAAATCATGCTTTACAGCCTGCCTTGGAGGACTCTGATAATTTTATTAAGTTTCGACTGTGTCGTCCAAGGCCCAGTTATTAAATAAGGATTGAAGGGTTTGAGTGTTCGGGCCATGAAGTTACTGCCACCGAACCTGCACTCTGGGAACAATTTACGTAAAATGGAAGAAGAGGTGAACTTCTTTCCAGCAGAGAAGGGACCTGAAACCACTCCATCATACTAAAGAGAAAGTATTACATCATTTCCACGCAAGTATCCTAATAGAGCACCGACTTAAATTCTCACGTGTAATGTGAAAGAGGAGTTTTTGAACAACTTGAGTAGAACTAGAATCTTGGTTTTTTTTCTTTTTGAAGGGTTGAACCAGGAACAAGTGTAGCAGGGGAAAGAGGATCTCCAAAGACCTCCAAAGTACGTAGTTCGAATCTCCAGCTTCCTCCCCCTCCCCTAGCCCTGCCCCTAGCCACAAATCGGTACATTTAAAGGTAAACTTCAAATCCGTCGATAGGAACCCCATCCAAAGCAGCAAAGCAAATGAACACGTATCTGCTACAGTGATCCAAACTGGTATTTCTGGTTGGGGAAGCAGGATCTATGAACCCTTGCAAATCCCGTGCTGGTTCTGAGGTCCACGAGAGCACCCCAAACTCGGGGAGGAAGGGCGGCCAACGAGAAGGTGAGGCGCCCTCCCCACCACAGCCCATGCGCCCCTCATGCTGCAGTGGGCGCGTCTGCGGCCGGTTTCTCCGCTCCCTCCCCTCACACCCCACCCGGAACTCGAGGTGTCTGTGGCGGGCAGCCGCCGACTCCGGTTCCCTTCCAGATGCGGGGCGGGCAAGGAAAGGCCGGGCCTGCACCTCCCACCCCCCGGCCCCACTCCCCGTCAGCAGCAAAGGGAGGCCCCTTAGGCGGGGAAGGCTCCGGAGGGAGGCCCGCTCGCTGCCCGGCGTACCTGGCTCTCGGCTGCGGGGATGCCGGACTCGAGCTCGCACAGCGCGCGGAAGTTGTGCAGCTCGAAGTCGGCGTCGACCTGGAGGGAAAAGGTCACCTCGGAGAGGTCCCTCCGCACACAGTACACCGTGAGCAGCATGGCCCGGGCCCGACCCAGCTCAGCTCGGCCTCGGCGCGGGGCGGAGGGGCGGTGGCGGCGGGGCCTGGCTGCTGCTGCTGCGGGCGGGCGGCGCGGGCTGCTAGCTCGCCCGCTCGTCCGCTCGCTGGCTGCTTCCCTCCCTCACACACGCTCAGGGACTCACTCACTCGCTCCCTCCCTCACTCCCTCACTCACTCACTCCCTCACTCACTCACTCCCTCACTCACTCACTCACTCACTCCCTCCCTCCCTCACTCGCTCCCACGGCCGCCGCCGCCACCCGCTTGCGACTCGTCTGCCTGTCTGCCGGCTTGCCTCCCACCGCTGCCGCCAAGCACGCCGGCCGCCCGGCGCCCCGCCCCGCCGCAACGCAGCTGCCGTAAAGCCCGCCTCGTTCCCTCCGCCTTCACGACGCAACGGAGGGGCGTGGTCGAAAAGGGGCGGTGGGCTTTGAGGAAAAGATGATGGCTGGCCGACTAGGGCCCGGCAGACGGGCAAGAAAATGGGAAGAAAAGACATAGCTGCAGAAAAAGAGAAATATACTCATGGATTTATTCATTCGGCTTAATAACCGAAGTCTATGCAAGGGTCCACCAGCTCATCTATTCATTCAACAGGCATTTATTAAACGCCTCCTCTACCATGTGCTAGGGGAAAGCCCAAACCAAATTCAATGCCATGGAGGCAAAGCCAACTCATAGCGACCTAAAGGGCAGGATAGAACTGTCCCTGTGAGTTTCAGAGATTGTAACTCTTTATGGGAGCAGCTGGTGGTTTTGAACTGCACACGTAACCACCACACCAGTGGACTGGGAGAAGGGAGATTTTAAAAACGTATAAAAATATAGGTCCTTAACCTTCAGGACTGTCAGAAGGCCAGCATTTCAAACCTACCGGCTTCTCAGCAGGAAAAAAAATGAAGCAGTCTAAAGATGTACAGACTGGAAGACCCTATGGACTGTTCTATTCTGTCTTCATGGATCACTATGAGTTAGAATAAATTGGATTACAATGGCTTTGGTTTGGTCCCTAAATAAACTTTCAGTCTCTTATGTTAGAACATTTTTCCCGAGGTAAAAATTAAATATAAAAAAATCTAAATATCAGCAGTTTTCTATCCAGTGATTTAGGGTTAAGATGAAACGTCACCCTGTCTGGCCTACAAACCCGGCGAAGTACTTCTGGGGAAAAAAAAAAAAGATGTCAGTGAAAACCTTATGGGATAAAAATAGACCATTGATAATTTAGTGCAGAATGAGCACCTAGGTTAGAAGGTACCCAAAACACGACTGAGGAAGAGCTATCTCCTCAAAGTAGAATTGACTTTAATTACATAGACAGAGATGAAGCTTTGGGGCAGCAATTTATTGATGTGGCACAACACAAAATAAGAGAAAACAGCTGGAAACGGCCATTACTAGCCAGAACATGCAATGATCTAAGCAATAATAAAGTTTGAAATTAAGGAAAATGGAAGTTTTCAAAAGTGAATTATAATGTATAAAGATCAATATCCTAAGCCTTAGTTGAAGTAGAGTGGCATTTTTTAAATCATACAACCATATAGTCTACTACACCAGCAATAACAAATTGAAGAGAAATTTCAAGTTATCTCATCACCAAAAAGAACATTTCAAGATCTACCCTGATATACAAAGCTATCTGTGATAGGATCATTGATCGTCCTTGATCAATTCTTAATACCTAAATTCACAAACCAACTGAGCTCTCTGAATTAATATTATCTACTTGATCTCTAGGTTCCAATATCCATTACAATAGCTACATAGAATCCTACAGGGGAGATTCATGATAAAAGAGTTTATTTAGAAATTTAACAAGTTGTCATACCAGTGAGAAATGCTAGTAGTTTACCAAGAGATGTTACAAAGTTTCAGATCTGATAATAAATGCCCAAAGGGACATACAATTCTGCTGGAAGCCTCAAGCAAAAGGCATTCAGCTCAGGCTCTATGGGTCAGCAAACCCACCTCTGAATTAAGTGTCCAGAGGCCTCAACCTAAAGGCACTTACCTCCTCTTCCAAGGGTCAGCAAGTTCAACTTCCCCAATTAAATGCCCAGAGGCACCCCACTCTGCAAGCCAGCCTCCTGCACACAAGCACTCACCTTGCTCAATGAGTTGGAAAATCCATTACTGTTTCATGCTCCTAGCTCTGCTGCTGCTCCTCTGATGGCATAGCTGTCATCTGGATCCTCTGGACCCAAGATCCCTCCTGGCTCTTGCTGATCAATGAGATTCCTACTCCTGCTTCTCAGAGAGCTCATTTTATACACAGCAGACTGCCACTCAAGGGAATCCTGTTCTCAATTATGCACAGGTGAATCTTATCACCAGTTCCCCAACCTTCTTAGCAGACCCATCCAGGGAAAGGTGGTTTAGTGGGAATTAGTGATGTTAGCTAGAAGGACCACATCAAGTAATTCCTGCCCTTGCACCAGCCACTAATGCCAAAGATGAAGAAATGGAAGATTATAACACCAACTCCTGCAGTCTGAAGTTGATGAAAGGTGCCATCAAGGTGCATTGATAATCACTGGTGATTGGAATGCAAAAGTTGGAAACAAAGAAGGATCGATAGTTGGAAAATATGACCTAGGTGATAGAAATGACACAGGAGATTACATGATATATATTTTTGCCAAACCAGCAATTTATTCTTTGGAAACACTTAAAAAAAATAACATAAATAGCAACTATGTATGTAGATTTCATCAGATGGAATTCACAAAAATTAAATGAGCTACATCTGTGACAGAGACGTTGGAGATTCTCAAGATCATCAGTCAGTAAATGGCCAGGAATTGACTGCAGAAGATTAAAACAAGCTCACAAGAGCCACAGGATGACTTGGAGTATAGAGAGACTGAGAGACCATCTCAAGAACAGATTGATCACACTGAACACTAATAACCAAAAGACTAGGTGTGTTGTGGAATGGCATCAAGGACATCATACTTGAAAAAACCAACGAGTGATTAAAGATGAGAAAGAAAGACCAGTGTAGCTCTTAGAAGAGATTCTGAGATTGGCTCTTGAACACAGAGTAGCTAAAGTGAAAGGAAGAATTGATGAAATGAGCTGAAGAGACTATTTGTAAGGACATCTCCTGGAAGACAAAATATAGTACTGACATCTACAAAGATCTGGATTTAGAAAGACAATAGAGAGAAGAAGAACATATTTTTCTCAAGCGGAAACAAATGAAGGGGGGCGGGGAATCAAATCTCAAGTTACAATATTAAAGGGTTGGTGAGGGGAAAAAAAGTTGAGCAACTCCGAAAGCATAAAAAAAATGGAATACAGAGAGTCATTATATAAAAAATAATTGTTCCATGTTCACTCATTTCAGGAGGTTGCCTATGATCAAAAGCCAATGGTACTGAAGGAAGAACTCCAAACTACAGAAAAGGCATTGACAAAAAATACACTCCCCTCCAGGAGCTGATGGCATAAGAGTTGAGATGATTCAATACACTGAAGCAACACTGCAGATGCTCATTCATCTATGCAAAAAATTAGAAGACAGCTACCTGACCAAGTGACTGGAAGAGATCCATATATGTGTCTATGTCAAAGGGAGGTGATTCAATGAAGTGTGGAAATTATTGAACAATATAATTACTAACACATGCAAATAAAATTTTGGTACAGGTAGTTCAAAAATGGTTGAAGCAGTACATAAATAGGGAACTTTTCGAAATCCAAGCTGGATTCAGAAGAGGTCTTGGAATGAAGCCTATCATGGCCGATGTCATATGGGTCTTGAATGAAACCAAAGACTGTCAGAAAGATATTTAGTTGTGCTTTATTAATAACACAAAAGCATTAGACTGTGTGGCTCAGAACAAAGTATAGAGAACGTTTTGAAGAATGGGAATTCCACAGCACTTACTGGTGCCCATGTGGTACCTGTGCCTGAAGCAAGAGGCAGCCATTCAAACAAAACAAGGGGATGCAGTATGGGTTAAAATCATACTGCAAGGTGTGTGTCAGGATTATAGCTTTTCACTCAATTTAATCTGTATGATGAGTAAATACTCGGAGAAGATGGACTATGAAGAAGAACATGGCATCAGGGTTGGACAAAGGCTCATTAACAACCCTCACTATACAGATGATACAATCTTGCTTGCTGAAAGCCAGGAGGACTTGAAACACTTACTAATGAAGATCAAAGACTGCATCCTCCAGTATTATTAAACTTCAACCTAAGACAAAAATCCTCACTACTGGGCCAATAAGCAATATGGGATACTAACAATGAGGGAAATAAAACTGGGACTTATTCCCTGACAGGTACGGAGGGAATCTGGAAGAGTAGTATTCCATGGCAGGAAGACCGCCACTCTGGTAGTTGGAGATATAGTCTGAGTACATTTTCCTGCTGTAGTCTATCATTTCCACAGTTTCTCCCTTAAAGCTGTACTGCCTTAAGGTAAGCAAATGGTTGATTCAATCTCCCTATAGAAGCAGACTCTATTGGCTCCATCTCTTCCTGCCGCGGCATCCAGCCCCTCTCATACCTTCCTCCAATAGCAACAGATGGGCTTAGGGGGACTTTATTCACCATGCCTGAATTCAAAATGTTTGCTACAAACCTGACTTTTCGGCTATATTAGTTTGGTCATTAAATTTGCCTTGACAGCTTTCGATGTATAGAAAATAGCCATGTAGCCACTGTGGCTCTTTTGAATTTTATATATAAAACAAAAGGGGGAATTGTGGGAAACAGAAGGATTTCTCCCAAGTTGTCTCCCCCAAATATATGCCAAACTTAGCTGCTT